CGAGCAACTGAAAAAAAGTTTGGTGCAGCAAATGGACTCACATAAGCGTGAGAAGTTAAACAATCTCAGGGCTTCTAAAGAACCTGGACCAGAAAGGGCCAGAAAAACAAAATGTTGCCCACGTAAAAAAAAAAGAAATTGCAAAAACCCTGAATTACATAGAAAAGAGTAGGAGGCCTTGGGTCAAAGCATACACCTAGCCCTGAGCAAACTGAATCAAATAACCATATGATAGTTATATACAGGGAAATAGCCAAGAAGTACCACGCAAAAAAGAAGATACCAGGCAGACACTACCAAAATAGATACCCAGGCCTAAGGCTACGGAATCAGGTGGGTATATATATATATATATATATATATATATATATAAAATGCCAAAAGTATTGGGATGCTCGCCTTTACATGCACATGAACTTTAATGGCATCCCAGTCTTAGTCTGTAAGGTTCAATATGGAGTTGGCCCACCCTTTGCAACTATAACAGCTTCAACTCTTCTGGGAAGGCTGTCCACAAGGTTTAGGAGTGTGTCTATGGGAATGTTTGACCATTCTTCCAGAAGCGCATTTGTGAGGTCAGGCACTGATGTCAGACGAGAAGGCCTGGCTCGCGGTCTCCTATCTAATTCACTCTAAAGCTGTTCTGTTGGATTGAAGTCAGGACTCGGTGCAGGCCAGTCAAGTTCCTCCATCCCAAACTTGCTCATCCATGTCTTTATGGACCTTGCTTTGTGCACTGGTGCGCAGTCATGTTAGAACAGGAACACAAATTTGGGAGCATGAAATTGTCCAAAATGTGTTGGTATGCTGATGTCTTAAGAGTTCCCTTCACTGGAATAAAGGGGCCAAGCCCAGACAGATTGCTAGACAGAAAGCATGACTCCTTGTGAGGTCAGGGGCCGATGTCGAGCGAGAAGGCCTGGCTTGCAGTCTTCACTGTAATTCATCCCAAAGGTGTTCTATCGGGTTGAGGTTCCCACAAAGTTGGGAGCATGAAATTGTCCAAAATGTCTTGGCATGATTACGCCTTAGAGTTCCCTTCACTGGAACTAAAGGGCCAAGACCAACCCCTGAAAAACCACCCCATACCATAATCCCCCCTCCACCAAACTTTACATTTGGCACAATGCAGTCAGGCAAGTACCGTTCTCCTGGCAACTGCCAAACCCAGACATGTCCATCGGATTGCCAGACAGAGAATCATGATTTGTCACTCCAGAGAACATGTCTCCACTGCTCTAGAGTCCAGTGATGGTGTACTTTACACCACTGTATCCAACGTTTTGCATTGCATTTGATGATGTACAGTTGCAAGAAAAAGTATGTGAACCCCTTGGGATTACGTGGAGTTTTGCATGAATTGGGCATAAAATGTGCTCTGAACGTCATCTAAGTCACAACAATAGAAGAACACAGTCTGCTGAACATAATACTACACAAACATTAGATGTTGCCATGGTTTAATTGCACATAACATGTAAACATTGACAGTGCAGGGAGGAAAAAGTATGTGAACCTTTGGACTTAATAACTGGTTGACCCTCCTTTGGCAGCAATAACCTCAACCAAACATTTTCCTGTAGTTGCAGATCAGACCTGCACACCGATCTGGAGTAATTTTGGACCACTCCTCTTCACAAAACTGTTTCAATGTAGCAATATTCTTGGGATTTCTGGTGTGAATCGCTCTCTTAAGGTCATGCCACAGCATTTCAATTGAGTTGAGGTCAGGACTCTGACTGGGCCACTCCAGAAGGCGTATTCTGTGCTGTTGCAGCCATTGTTTTGTTGAATTACTTGTATGCTTTGGGTCATTGTCCTGTTGCATCACCCATCCTCTGCGGAGCTTCAGTTGGCGGACAGATGGTCGTACGTTTTCCTGCAAAATGTCTTGATAAACTCTGGAATTCATTTTCCCATCAATGACAACAATCCGTCCAGGCCCTGAGGCAGCAAAGCAGCCCCAAACCATGATGCTCCCTCCGCCATGTTTTACAGTGGGGATGAGGTTTTGATGTTGGTGTGCTGTGCCTTTTTTTCTCCACACATAGTGTTGTGTGTTCTTCCCAAACAACTCAATCTTGGTTTCATCTGTCCACAGTATATTTTGCCAGTAGTGCTGTGGGAACATCCAGGTGCTCTTTTGCAAACTTCAAATGTGCTGCAATATTCTTTTTGGACAGCAATGGCTTCCTCCATGGTGTCCTCCCATGTACTCCATTCTTGTTTAATGTTTTCCTTATTGTAGATGTGTCAACAAAAATGTTAGCATGTGCCAGAGATTTCTGTAGGTCTTTAGCTGACACTCTGGGATTCTTCTTTACCTCATGCAGCATTCTGCGCTGTGCTTTTGCAGTCATTTTTACAGGACGACCACGCCTAGGGAGAGTAGCAACAGTGCTAAACTTTCTCCATTTGTAGACAGTCTGTCTTACCGTGGACACATGAACATCAAGGCTTTGGGAGATACTTTTGTAACCCTTTCCAGCTTCATGCAAGTCAACAATTCCTTGATCGTAGGTCTTCTGAGAGCTCTTTTCTGTGAGGCATGGTTCACATCAGACAGTGCTTCTTGAAACCAGTCAAACCAAAACAGGTGTGTGTTTTTTAAGGGCAGGACAGCTGTCAGCAACACATCCAATATCATCACACTGATTGGAGTCAAGGTTGGCTCACTCCTGGCTCCAATTAGCTCTGGGAGAAGTCATTAAGCTAGGGCCTCACATACTTTTTCCTCCCTGCACTGTGAATGTTTACATGTTATGTGCAATTAAACCATGGCAACATCTAATGTTTGTGTAGTATTATGTTCAGCAGACTGTGTTCTTCTATTGTTGTGACTTAGATGACGTTCAGAGCACATTTTATGCCCAATTCATGCAAAACTCCACGTAATCTCAAGGGGTTCACATACTTTTTCTTGCAACTGTAAGGTTTGGATGCAGGTACTCGGGCATGGAAAACCATTCTATGAAGCTTTCTACATACTGTTGTTGTGCTAATCTGAAGGCCACATGAAGTTTCGAGGTCTTTACCTATTGACTCTGCAGATAGTTGGCGACCTCTGTACACTGTGCACTTCAGCGTGCGTGAGGGACACATGACAGGTGACAGAAGATGACGGGGCCATTCAGGAAACGCAGTGCTACTCGTGCATGCGCAGTAGGCACCCGAATGTGAAGCTGTAAGCTGTTACAGCTGGGTGCCCAAACTGAAGATGCCGGCCTCCTGGAATACAGAACGGCTGATGAAACAGGCTGCGGCGGGGGCAACACGGGGTCGTGGGACAGGTGAATGACTGTTTTTTAAAAGTCAGCAGTTACAGTTTTTGTAGCTGCTGACTTTTTTTTTTTTACAGAGTGAGTGGAACTCCGCTTTAAAGACCTTAAAATGAAACCATAAACAACACTGGTCAATTTGATTTTATTTTACGTTTATATGCCTACAAAGTAATGTTTTGTTTAACTTTCAATATTTTCTGTCAAATCTTTATTTAGTAAAAACATGTTTTAAATAAATATTTAATACAGAGTGCTTCCATAATACTTTGTTTGCAAAACATGCTGGGCTTGCTGATAGGAAAGCCCAGCACTATCTCTACACTTGTTGATTATTCCTGAAGATTGAAAATCTAATCAGCTTTGTCACTGCTAGGACAGATGGAGTGAAGTGTGTCCCTCCTCTGAGTCATTTTGGGCTTGTTTGCTTTTGCAGGCCTTGCCCCAAGGGTAATCTGCATTTGGCTCACTTTTTAGAGGCAATTGACAGGCGATATCTCCTCACCGTCTCTTCTAAGCTAGATGGACACTTCTCTGAGGAGGGTACAGAGCACTTGAATGGGTCAGGTTTGACACGTGGTAGTGCCCTCTGATTACAACAGGGGGTATAATTCCTGCCTTGGCCATAGCATGTGTGCACCCCCGGCTGCTGTCTTTACAGCTAACGTAATTGGGGGGCGGTAAAAACAAATCACAATAACGTGGTTTTGCTGCCCCTCCCAACCGCAAATGTAAACAAGCCCTTAGTTAGGTGTGTGTATAACCTGATGTGCTGCCATTTAGGTCTTTTCACAACACAGGCTTTTTACAATAGCAGTAAGTCAGTCCACTGATTAGCTGGTTCTGGAAGCGATAAATATAAATTATTTATATGCAACAATTCACAATTATATAGCTAAAAAATAGAGGATATTAATATATGCAAAACACTTTCTATTACCCTTAAGCTGTTCATTTTAACCATAAATGTAACGTCTAGTTCAATAGCAGTGGCTGGAATTACCCCTGACTTCTCTATCTCTATAGGGCTTTTGCGATATGATTTTTACATGCAAATTCCCAACTAAGCCAATATGTTGTGCCTATTTAGGAAGGGGATTTACCTTACATTATAAAGCATGAAACAATACAGTGAGATCTTGACCCGAAGCTGAAATGACCCTGAAGGCACATTAACTAGTGCTTAAGACACTGTAATATGACATATGATAATAGAGGCCACTTTAGCATGCCTTAAGTGCAGTCGAGTTTCCAGCATACATGAAGGTCATGCCAGAAAACCTTCAGGATTCTACAAAAGGATTCTAGTGTTCTACTTTTAGGCTTTTTCCCCTGTTTTCACCTGACAATTCAGCCAGTAACATACTCCCTGTATTAGAGTGTCTCCAAGCTGGATGAATGAGCACAGGGGGCACTTTTGGACAGCAGCATTGTCAATCTGGGGGGGGGAGTGTTAGATATACTAACAGATTTAGATACAGTAACAAATTGAAGCTGAACTCCAGCTAACACTTTTTAAACAGCTACCAGTTTTGTTTCTTTTTGTTTTACATAAATAAAAGCTTATTATTGTAAGCACCCCTGTCAGCGTTAAATCGTTTGTCTCAGCCCTCTAACTGCTGCATCTGCAGTTACAGACTTTATGGCCAGATCACAAGTGAAAATGAAAGAAAGAAAGCCTAAAAAAATGCATCCATTAGTCATACAGAAGAACTGCAATATAATAAATGTTTGCTTTTGGGCAGGGGCGGACTGACCATTTGGAAACTCAGGCACTGCCCGAGTGCCCGGGGTCAGTAGGGGGCCCCATGAGATGCCCCTGGTACCTTTTTCATAGGCTTTTTTGAGTTTGGGCGAAGACACAAGGGCCCCATGATCCCCTATTGCCCGGGGCCCCATGAGTTGTCAGTCCGCCCCTGATTTTGGGTTTACTACCATTTTAATCTGGGCACTTGAGTCTGAACATTGTCCTTTAATAAGCCCAAGTAATGCTATATTTGATCATTGTACAGATGTATTTTCCATTTCAATCATTCAGTCTGCTTTTATACTGCCTACAGAAGTGGGTAAGTACCCATAGTTGGAGTAATCAGATTCATCCAGTCTAATTTTCTAGATAATTGGTCCTTGTAAAGACAGCTCTGTTTGTATTGTTAGTGACTGCACTACACCGCTCTTTGCACTTTTTGATGAAATAAGCCATTAAATGCTACTTGTAATATGAAGAGTGTTTTTTGGAATTCTAGCCTGGCTTCTGCTAGTAAAAACTGAGTTATAGAAGCTCGAGAACAAATTGTCTCTCCCTATGAATTGTACATCTCTTTCACAATGCCAAATTTTATTTCAATCTTTTATTTTGTGTTAACCACAAAACAAAGGCATTGTCATGTGCATATTATTGTATAACTGCTGTAAAGGCTGGAGCAGAACCACATGTTCAAGGGCCCATGTCCTCTTTGCTGATGGAAATTCATAGCAGAGAAAAGGAGATTTACGAATATAAATGAATGGAGAGGTAATGCAGTTGTTTTACTAAAGAAAGATCATGTTCCCACCGTAAAGTGTATGTTCACTCAGCTTAGTGAACTAAGTGAAGCTGTCATCACTTCATCACCCAATTATGTGAAAACAAAAATCCTGTATTTTTTCATTTCCTCACACAATTTTGGGTATCCAAAATGAACCTGGGATAAGCATCACCATCTAAGTGAACAGCCTCTGCTCCCTTTAGAAAATGTAACTCCATTGCATAAGATAGTATATGATAAGTCTCGTGCAGAGGTGTAACTAGAACCTTCAGATGCAAAAACCATTAAGGAGCCCTCTGACCAGGGCCCTTCCCTCTGATCCCAGGGCCCTTTACTGCCATTGTGGGGCTCTTTATTAGAGTCCCAAAGTAGGATCTTTTCACATGTTCTGCAGCGGGCCCCCTTCCTGCCACCATTTGGGTTCTCACCATAGTGGTGGAATGCCAGTATGACCATTGCAACCCTGGAAGCTCTGCCACTGGTGTCAATTGTTTTTTATTTATAATTTTTACCATTTTTATTTATTTTCTTTTAACAATTTTATTTTTTATCATTTACAATTTTTTAGGAGTCTTGTTGGGAGGCTTTGGTTAAATATCAGGTGTCTAAATAGACATCTGATTTTAACCTGAAAAAGAGATTGAGGACACAGCCCTCAATCTCCACCTCTGAAGCCTCAGCTGCACAGAATGAATGGAAAGGGATGGCTCTGTACAGAGCTTCCATTCATTCACAAACTGAAGTACAGTAAACACAGTTTACTATGCTTCAGATATGAATGAACACAGGAGCGACCAGTACTGATCACTCACTGTGTCCATTCAGGGAAAAAAAAAAAAAGGGGGTCGGTAAATGACATATTTACTGGCCACTTCCCCAGCTCTCCATCCTGACACATCCCCACACCAGCCAGGTGGAGAGGGGAGGAGGGTTGCAGACAGCAAAGCAGGCGATTAGGCGGGGCCAGAGGAAAACACAGGGGCCCCAGGGGCAGTGGGACCTGGATAGGAGGGGAGGTTGGGGAGGCATATAGAGGAAACTGATGCCCTCTATTTTCCGCCTGCAACTGCTGAATGCTTGCAGGAGGGAGAGGAGGAAAAGCAGGCTTTTTGCGGCTGCAGGAGGAAAATGGAGAGCATTGGTTCCTCTATATGCTCCCCCCACTTTCCCTCTTATCAAGGTGTACAGAGGAGCCACACAGGCCCCCTGGAGCATGGAGCCGGGTTGCAATTGTGACCCCCTTAGTTACACCTCTGGCCTCATGCACACTGGACTTTTTTTCAGCTGCTCCTAGGAGCACCTGGCGATTTTTTTCCTGCCCCTAAAGCCCCTGCATGTTAACCTATGTACATATAATCTTTTAGAGGAGTTTAGAGGCAGGAACAATCCCACTGCCAGTGAGACCAGTGTTTATTGGCAGAAAAAACGCTTGATGCCTTAAACCTGTGTAAACGCATCTATATGTACATTAAAGCTAGGCATGTTTAGTGCTTGATCATTAATTCATTTCAATGGGAAGAATAAATTATTACTCTGGCCAATGAAATGAATTAACATCCAAACGCTTGATGCACTGAAATGCGCCTAAAAATTCAAGCGTTGAGCAGGGGCGGACTGACCATTTGGAAACTCAGGCACTGCCCGAGGGCCCGGGGTCAGTAGAGGGCCCCATGAGATGCCCCTGGTACCTTTTTCATAGGCTTTTTTGAGTGTGGGCAAGGACACAGGGGCCCCATGATCCCCTATTGCCCGGGGGGCCCCATGAGTTGTCAGTCCGCCCCTGGCGTTGAGCGTATTTACTGCCAAAACACTGCCACCAGGAGGAAAGGCTTCTAGGAGAGTTGGCAACGCGTCCTGTGCGCATGGTAGCAGTTGTAAGTGATTCCTTTTAAACAAGCCCAATGAAAATGATATATGTAGTGCACAAAAAGCTCTATTGCCTTCAAGACGTCAGAGAAAAATGATACAGCGCTTCCATAAAAATAACTTCCCCTTCCCACTTTAGCACTTCATATGATCTGTACAGTAGTAACCATATATATCATCTAGGGACTTAGATCTGTAAGATGTCTTTATTGAGATGTGTAAATTTATAACATTCATGAATCCTGCAGAGAACTATAATTAATCTGGAATGCATGGTATTGAGTTACACTGTAGCTGGTAAATCATACATAAACAGTAATTGGTACCAGCCGTGATTTTCTTTGCATTGATACCAACTGCTTCTGACATTGTCTGGATCTGACACATCCACATCTGCTACAAATAGTGGATTCCCAAGACACAGGCTGGAGGTCACTGTCCATGCCTTCTCTTATGCAAACCCGCGAGCCAGCAGAGTTTTACTCCAGACTTGCTTTGCAGGCATTTTAACAAATCTCAAAGAAGCTTCTGCTTGGCAGACTCTCTTTAACAGCTTGTGTAAAAAACAAAGGTGTGAAGTAACCCATAATAACTAATCGGGGATCATCTCTCATTAATTTGACCACAATAATCTGCTAAATGCATATATCCTGTTGAAATAGGAAATGGAACAGCAATGATTTTTATACCAGAGACACTTGGAAGGCCATTCGTTTAAATAATCAAACAAGTGCCATTTGTTTTACCATACTTTCATGATTTTAACGTATTGAACTGCATGAGCTTTTTAAAGTTATTTTTCTGTAGTATTCCAAGATCCAGTGGTGGTTTCTAGCCACAACAACCTGTTTCTAATGTGATGTTGGTATCTTTCTCTGTCCTCCCCTCTTGTTTAGTGCTAGTTAGTTTAGTTCTAGCTACACCATCCCCATTACTTCCAACCTGTTTCTAATGTGATGTTGGTATATTTCTCTGTCCTCCCCTCCTGTTTAGTGCTAGTTAGTTAAGTTCTAGCTACACCATCCCCATTACTTCCAACCTGTTTCTAATGTGATATTGGTATCTTTCTCTGTCCTCCCCTCCTGTTTAGTGCTAGTTAGTTTAGTTCTAGCTACACCATCCCCATTACTTCCATGTTTCCTCAGTCAGTGTTATTTATTCACAGAGATGGGGCTTAGGGAAATCACTGGGATTGATTTAATAAAACTGGAGATTGCAAAATCTAGTGCAGCGCTGCATTGAAACCAACGAGCTTCCATTTTGTTTTTTGTCAAAGCTTAATTGAACAAGCTGAAGTTAGAAGCTGATTGGCTACAATGCATAGCTGTACTAAGTTATGTACCCTCCAGTTTTAGTAAATCAACCCCTTTGTCTTCTTAAACTTGGAAAGACTGTAAAACATTCTTTTTACTTCATTTAACTGAAGTAAAATTGTGTTGGATTTAACTTCTGTGTCTTATTGAAGAGTAAAAGCTGTCTGTGGATGGTGCCACGTCAGCAAGTGAAATATTGTCTGGACAGACTGGGGTTTATTTACTAAAGCTGGAGAGTGCAAAATCAGACTCACTTCTGCATAGAAACCAATCAGCTTCCAGGTTTCATTGCCAAAGCTTCATTGAACAAGCTGAGGTTAGAAGCTGATTGGTTTCTATCCAGAAGGGAGTCTGATTTTGCACTTTCCAGCTTTAGTAAATAAACCCCACTGGGTCTAAGGAAGTACTTCAATGCAATAAGCGGCATTTGAAACAGAACACCCCTATGATACCCTTCTTGTCCAAACAAAAACCTAAATACTCTTACAGAGATCTTTGATTCACAGTTTACACATGGTAGGGCTGTTTTCACGTTTCTTTTTTTCTGTTGATGGCCTCCATGGCAAGATCCCTCCTTGGGTTCCCAGACCTGCATTTCTGCCATGATCATTGCATGGGAGCCTCACTTTCCCTGTTAGAATTATAAATTGTGCTATGGAGAAGGTGGCAGGAGAAGTGGCAACAACTCAGTGTGGGCAGAAACACCCAAAACTCCAATAAGTATGGAAACACAGCCAGGAACATGTCTCTGCAAAATATTTTGGGTTGGCCAGGGCTTTCAGCCTAAAGTTGCATCTCTACAAAGCTGGGATTTAAAGTCCTGTCTCCAATGGATAGCCAAAACCTTTGGCCAGGCAAATTTGCAGCCACAAAGAAATCAAAAAATTGTGGAAGGTACTTCACAACTGGAATTTTGCTGATTATCAGGAATTATTGGACCACGCAGCAGGGAAGCTCTTTTTAATTTGCCATTATTATAAAGGGAGAGCTATATGTTTAGACACAATGTAAAACTGGAGGGATCTCTCCTACAGAATCCTAACAGTACTTTCCAGTACTTTAATATGTTCATCAAGCAACTAGATGTAGCCCATCCATAAGGCTGCATTCACACTTGAGTGTTTTGTAGCTTGAAGCTCGAAGCTCCAAAAATGCTCAACCTTAAAAAATAAATTGTTCTCTATGGTGCCTGCTTGCGCGATCAGGTGTGAACAGGCACCAAAAAGAACAATAGATTTTTTTAAGTTTGAGCTTTTTTGGAGCTTTGAGCTACAAAACGCTCAAGTGTGAATGCAGCCTAATGAGTGACAAGCAATATACCTAAAGAGATGTAAGAACACTCATTTGCTATTCCCTCCTTATAAAATAATCCTATATCCAGTGAACAATGTCATAACAATAGAGATAAAGCTAATGTTTTTACTGCTTTATTATTATTATATTATTATTATACAGTATTTATATAGCATCAGAAGGTTTGCTCAGCGCTGTACATTATAGTGGGGGACAGAACATGAGACAATACAGTAACAAAACAATACACGAAGGGACTTGCTCTTTCAAGCGCTTTATGACTTTGGAATCTCTTTTGGATAGCCTCTCTATGTGCTATGTGCCTACACGTCACCTACAGACAAATAGTAACCATGTGGCATATAATTGGCTGCAGGCAGCAATATATATATATATATATATATATATATATATATATATATATATATATATATATATAAATGCTACTTTTTGTTTGCCACTGTAAATCCTCTAAAATTGGAAGCTCCAAGGAGCAGGGCCCTCCTAACCCTCCTGTATTGAACTGTATTGTTGCTGTATTGTCTCCCGTTATATTGTAAAGCGCTGAGCAAACTGTCGCCGCTATATAAATCCTGTATAATAATAATAAATTGAAAGAGAAATATCAGCTGGCAATAGTTTTGATTGAAGATGGCTAAACATTTTAGGCAGCAAACTCTACCATGCTTAAGGAGACAAAGAGCAATGAGCAAAGAATAGTAACCCATTGGATTACTCCTGATCTCTCAGCTGTAAACTGAAAGGGCTGAATGGTTGCTATGATTGACTGCACTTTGCATATCATAACCGCTCTTTACAATGCGATCACCTTCCACCAGATCATGCGCCACTGAGGTTGAGTTACTAAAGGCAAAAATACTTGAATTTGTTAGTGCAGTTGCACTCTTGCAAGTGTAGTTGCTCCAGAGTTTAGTAAATGAGGCAAAGCTCAACTTTACAAAGAATATCCAATACAAGCAAGGAAAATAAAAGAGCATTTTTTGCTTGCACATGATTGAATGATGGTCAGCTCTATCTCATTTACTAAGATCTGGAGCAACTGCACTTGCAAAGTGCACAGTCTTTTTGTCTTGAGTAAATCCACCCCATTGTATTTGGCCCGGAGGATCTAGTAACTCTGTATCCTAGCCTGCTTTATGAAATATTATAACTGCTTCAGCCAAGGGGAAGTCAAGTCTTCAAAACAATATTGGATAACTTACATGGTGCAGATATCAGTGGTCTTATTATTTGGCATTTACATAATACAACAGTAAAACAACAACAGGTGAACCACAAGTAAAAATAAATTTATCTAGATGAAAATCATGATAATAAGCTGTCCACCTAAAATAGGTAAGCATTTACGAAACACAAATTCAGTAACATTATTATTTGGAAAGAACGTTTGTCTTTGTTACAGCACTCCTGTGGCTAAAGAAGAGCAAATAATAATAACACAAAAAAGAAATGCGTAATTGGTTTGTTAGGAAGTGCCCAATCCCTCTCATGGACAAGCGTGCTGGCGGTCCTTTGATACGCTATAGAGTGCTGTTGCTTTCAGTCACTATCCATGTAAGCAATGACAACATAATACATATGAGCAATGAGCAGAGAGTAGGCAATGTGTATGTGTGCAAAGAATAATCACCAAGAAGCATGCAAGTAAGAAGATGTGCATAGTATTAGAATAAGTAGAAAGCCAACCACTTAAGCAATAACGAAAAATAAAAGAATGAGAACAGGTATATTTCATGCGTCTAAAGTAACTTCATAATAAAATAAAATGCATTGCATTTTACAGAATGGTTTCTATAATCCCAACAGCACGGTTTATATATGTGAACCCCAGGATCGGTATATGTTAGACACTAGGGGGAAGACTTTATAATTATTTGGGTTTATTAAATAATAATGTTCACAGTGGTTAATCATTTCTAATTGAATGTTATGGGTAACTGCGCTTCTATCTCATTAATTACCTAAGGCTGTACTGGGACTAGGCAAATGGCACGTGAAAGAGTTACCGGTACTGATGATTATTATAAAGCATCTGGCTTAGTTGCATTTTTAAAGCAGAGTGAAATCTTTTTAGAGGATTTAAATCTTTTGTACTTGACCACGGAACAAAATATGATAATCTGATCTCCTCTCTTGGAGGTAAGATAGATATATTTTTTCCTATTACTCACAAAGAGGGTTCCTGCAGCTTTGTAACTTCCAATGGGGAAATGAGGCTTGTGTGGAGCAGATTTTAAGGGATGAGTTACCACCAGGTACTCATAGTACTGAATATGGCAGCACTTCCCCTAACAAACACTCCCAATTTCAGATAAGGGCTCAGGCATCACGCACCCCCACCTCTTCCAAAAGGAAGGTAATAAGCAAAGGTGTGGATGGAAATTAAAGTGAATGTATAGACAAATTTTTTTTGGTTTTAGATAAAACGGAGAAGGGTTAAAATCCCTGTCGATTAATGTCTTTGCTGTCTGTTTCCCATTGGAGAGAGTTCCCTTTGGTTCCTGTCCCAGAGATGCAACAGGAAGTGAGAGGAAATCTCTGTGAACTGAGAGAAATTCCCCACTTTGACAGCTGTCACAAGAACAAGTGTCCCAATTGGAAGATTTCCCTTCTGTTCCTGTTCTGCTGACAACTCACAATTTTTGATTTTTCATCATTTTCTGTCTCAGTGATAATTGTCACCAGGATAAATAAAGAGATCAAAACTCCATTAAGGAGACACAGGTAGCAATTAAAACCTTTTATATTCCTTCCTTACCCTTCTCAAAGCTAAAAAAAAATATAAAAGTTGTATCTGTACATTTACTTTAACTGACCTGGAGAACCCTTTTACGCTATATACAGTATATCTTTTTGATGGCTGTAACAAACATGATATTTAGGTTAGAATAGACATATCACTAATGTTTTTTAATAATCACATATGCAGACCAGCCAAATTGGTAACAGTTTAAAGATTGTGGTTAAATAAATATTAATACCATTTAAAAGGTGTCATTTTAACTATTATTTTACAAACACTTTTAAAATAATTTATTTAACATTGTAGAACTTTATAAATGTAAGTATTGCCATTGTCAAGATATTATCATATCAATGGCAAGAAACATTAACAAATAATTTTTAAGGACTTACTATGAATGCAGTATATTAAAAGGCAACTTTAACTGACATATTATTCATTTTTGGTAGAATGTGGTAGGTTTTTGTTTCCATTCCTGAACCCTGGAAACTGACATTTTCAGCCATGATCATGCCCACATCTGCTAAAGTGAATTTCCCCATATATTCCTATGGAGAATCCACTACTAAGTGCAATACGCCAAAATGTCTACGCTCTAATGGCTTCTCCGCAGGACTTTAAAAGCTGCTGCTGATAATCTGGCTGAAAGGTTGAGCCTGACCTGTCCAGACAGAGAGACAGGCCCACTCCACCAAAAATGGACAAATCTGATTGGTGGCTGAAGGCAACGAAGGCAGTTTTTTTCATTTAGAGGCTTTGTTAAGTTGAATTCATAATTAGTATAGTGTGAGATAAGATATGGTACTACCTGCCTGTCCATAACCCAGTGACATTATGTAAGCAATTTTAGTTTTAAACGAAAGGAAAGAAATAACTTTTACTTTGAATGAAAAAGCTATAATTTACAAAAAAAAATGAAAGCTGTAAAAAAGAGTTATAGAAAGGCCATGTAGTGTAGGTATGCTTACTGCAATGACGGAGACTCCGGCAGTGGTGCTGTTTGGTTTTGGACCTGTATTGAAATGCTTCTTTATCTTTCCAGCCACTGACAGTGGGTACTCATTTTCCGGGAGACCATCATCCTGCAGGTATAGAAAGAGTTATTATAATTTAGGTGATCCTGTTTTCTGTGCTGCTAGATCAAAAAATTGTGGAACATTATGAAACAATGAAGAAATAATACTTGAATTCTTTTACTCATTTATGATGGTATTGCTGAGTAAACAGCACTCTAAAACAAGTAGTTTGGCTTCTTCTATTCATAGAGATGCTGTAGCCTTGGCCAATGAGGGCAAAGTGACTTGCAAGGACCATTCATGACAAGTGTCTTTGTAGAGGGCTCCTTGTCCAAGCCCCTGATACTCACCTTGTCAGCACTCTTTTGCCAGTCCCGCCTTAGGCAGGGCATACATTATGCAATTTTCATTCCTTCAACCACGGGTTGAAGGAAAGAAAATTATTTGACATTCAGTGTTGATGGGGGAATCCTTTCTACTGTGCTATTGTATTCTGACAGTTGGAGGTTTCCCAGCCATCAGAATACAATAATCATTGCAGTGATCGAATGAAAAAAACCTGACAGGCACGTTGTACTGAAGTTGATCAACAGATTGACTTCAGTGCCACCAGCCTGTCCATAGATGGATTGAAATTTGGCCGGTTCCCGCTGAACTGGCAGAATTTAGATCTGTCTATGGCCAGCACTAAAATCGCTAGTGTCATCTAGTGTTGGAAGCTATGAGGAAAAAAAGCCCTTAGATGGACATCTTAGTGAATGCAACATACAGGGATATGGGAAATGGTAGAGACATAATTACAAACACACTCATATGCCCATACCTACACAGGTTCAACTGGATGGACTAATGTTTTTATTCAACCTAACCAACTATGAAACTATGAAAGGTGGCATCACTTGCTAGATCATTTGACAATGCTCAGGCCTAGAGATTTTACACTAGACCTGAACACAGGGGACAAGGCCACATGCTCTCCAAAGCCCAGAGAAGCAACAGGTTTTGTTGCCAGATGCAACAGAAATAGAAGCAGTGGGGAAGCGCTGACATGATGAACACTGCATAACAGGGGACGTGTTTCAAAGACACTGTCATGTTGCCCTGAATGGGCAAGGAGACAATGGGGTTGATTTACTAAAGGCAAATAGACTGTGCACTTTGCAAGTGCAGTTGCACTCATTGTCCCCAAAGCTCAGTGAATGTGGTGAAGCTTCACTTTGTAAAGAATACCCAATCAATTTCTTTTTAAATATATTATACCACAGCAGTATAGAATGTGGAGCTGAGAGCTCTTGGTAAACGTTTCCATACCTGGACCCTACAGATAATTATTTAAAATAAATACAGCATTTCACAAATATAGCATTATATTAGAAATAATGGACACTGACAATAAACATTGATTTAGTAGAGAAGTAGAAAATGTAAGCGGTTAGAACTTCCGCCTGGCAGTACTAGGGTCATTGGTTTGAATCCCAACCACGGCACCACCACGGCACCTGTCTGGAGTTTGCATATTCTCTCTTTGCCAACTCTGTCACAAAGTGGTAGGCCACGTAAAATGACAGAGCGGGGTCAGCACACGCTGAAGCGCAGTGAGCAGAAATCGACAACTGTCTGCAGAGTCAATAGCTAAAGACCTCCAAACGTTGTGTGGCCTACAGATTAGCACAACAACAGTGTGTAGAGAGCTTAATGGAATGGGTTTCCATGGCCGAGCAGCTGCATCCAGACCTTACATCACCAAGTGCAATGCAAAGCGACAGATGCAGTGGTGTAAAGCACAAAGCCGCTGGACTCTAGAGCAGTGGAGACGTGTTCTATGGGGTAAAGAGTCATGCTTTCTGTCTGACAATCTGTCTGGGCTTGGCCCCTTAGTTCCAGTGAAGGGAACTCTTAACACGTCAGCATATCAAGACATTTTGGACAATTTCATGCTCCCAACTTTGTGGGAACAGTTTGGGGATGGCTTCTTCCTGTTCTAATATGACTGTGCACCAGTGTACAAAGCAAGGTCCATAAAGATATGGATGAGCGAGTTTGGGGTGAAGGAACTTGACTGGCCTGCACAGAGTCCTGACTTCAATCCAATAGAACAGCTTTAGGATTAATTAAATAGGAGACACAAGCCAGGCCTTCTCATCTGACATCAGTGCCTGACCTCACAAATGCGCTTCTGGAAGAATGGTCAAACATTCCCATAGACACACTCCTAAACTTTGTGGACAGCCTTCCCAAGTGTTGAAGCTGTTATAGCTGCAAAGGGTGGGCCAACTAAATATTGAATCCTACGGACTAAGACTGGGATGCCATTAAAGTTCATGTGTGTGTAAAGGCAGGTGTCCCAATACTTTTGGCAATATAGTGTATATAAAGTGCTGCTTAAATTCACGGTGCTATTTACCTGTAATAATAAATAAATAATGTAAACGTTAAATTAAATTTAAAAGTAAATGATAAAGTGTATCTAAAGCCAAATCCTGTTTCAGCATTGTGGAGATTAACCCACTCTATATGCTGTGGTGACCATAATCACTGCAACTGATAGTGATGGGAGATCCAAAATCTTTAAATTTTTTCACTGGAATAGAAGCAAAGGGGAAATCGTCTACAACACAAGACATGTTTTAAGTAAGAAACATGATGGATCTACTTAAGTTGTGCCCAGCCCTCTACAAACTCTTTTACTATCGCAGTAAATAAAGTATTATTTCTGTTTTGATATCTTTGAGATACTCAGGAACAAACCAACTGGCAGACAGAGGCTTCTAGTCCTCATAAATCAGGTGGGTATTGTGGTACTTATTTCTTTGCTTTTCTGCTTGGATAATATCTTGCTGTTTTTTGGCTTATATGAATATCCTGTAACCTGAAAAAGTGGTTGCTTCTTTTCTGTTTTGCAGCTATAACTTTATACCTCGTACTTTCTGAAAACTTAAATAAAGAATAAAAAAAAGTAATATTCCCACCTACACTGACAGGGGTTTTATCCATTCTGACCTTAGATACCTTTAGCTTAGCTAGGTGAAGGGGTGTCCAAACTATGGCCCATGATGGCTATAAATGCAGCCCAACACAAAATCGTAGACTTACTTAAAGATGTTTATTTTTTGGGGAGAATTTTCTGTAAAAATGTGTTTTCACTTAGCGAACACATGAGACCAAAGAACAAATTGACAGTGTCTCTTTATTGGACTTTTATACGTTTTATCTTCACAAAGAAAAATCTCCCACTCTTCACAACCACGCCTTATTCATGTCATCAGTTTTTGGTGGCACCTATATTCGCGAGCAACTATTTTCAAGGGTGAAGCACACGAAGGCCAAAATATGAGCCAAAATATCTGATGAGCACGTTGAAAATTCATTGAGAATTGCTACAACATCCATTGAATCAGATATTGATGTGTTAGTTTATCAAAAACAGTGTCAAATATCGCACTAGTTTTATGTTGTCCTCTTTTACTTTTATAGTACAAATAAAACAAATGGAATTTTATTACTCAGATATGTACTTTTTCTATATGAGTGATTATTAACATGTGATCTGCCTGACTTTTTATGCTCATCAGCTATTCTTATTGTTGTTGCATTTTATGTGTGGCCCAAGACATTTCATCTTTGTCTAATTTGGCCCAGGAAAGTCAAATAGCTGTACACCCCTGGCTTAGTGCATGTTTTCATAAATTATGTGCAAAAATCCTTTTTTTAAATTTCCCTTGCACATGATTGGGTCATTCAAACTAAACATACACAGCTTCACCATACTTAGAAAAGGGAACATTCTCTACTACTTCAGCAAATCAACCCCATTGAGTTATCCAAATAGCATGTGACAAAATACTTTTTTGTGTATTTGTTGCTAGAAGATTAATAGATCTGCTAGGAGGATCTTTCATGTCTACAGAAGTAAAAAAAAAAACATGTGTAAGGCTAGGTTCACATATGTGCGGGTGATGCTGCTGCGGATCCGCGCAAAAATCCGTGCAGCCGCACCACCCGCACAGAAAAATGCAGACCAGCGGGCGGATGCCATTAATTCTAATTGCACGCCACCCATACTGGAAATCGCAACCGTACTGGGAACCAAGGTTCCTGTGCGGGTTGCATTTTCAGAAGAAGTGCAAGGACTTCTTCCCTGTGTGTCCCGGGACACAGGAGTCCTTTCAAATGAATGGGCTCTCGTGCCCGTGCAAAACGTAGACTGCAGGAACACGGATATGTGAACCAGGGGTAAAGAAACAGCTTATAAAATAACATTGGTACAATGGTTCTTTTTTAATTAGAGTATAAAAATTCAATAGATTTGCAGATTTCGGATGGATATACTCTTAGGAATATTCAGAAACAGAAGGATCCCATGATTTGGTTTGGATTATAACGTGTACTTAATTGTCAGCTAAAATAAAAAGGAGTGCAGCTTTTATTTTAAAAGTTGCAAATTAAAGATAGGCATAGATACGGCACAATGATTTTCATCTTTTTCTGCTTTCTTTCCAGTGCAAATTATTTCAGCATGCCAATTATGTCAAAAACAGGCTTTGGCTTTCTTGAAATGAAAAACGTTAAAATATAGCTTGAAATAGTTTTATCGTTATGTATTTTATAACCTCACTTTTTATGTCAGATTTAGAAGGTATATATCTGTGCAGATAGTCGCTGACAACAATTAATGTCAACACAACAGATGAAAAAACGATATACCATAAATGAATTAGTTTAGCACACAATTGTTATTGCTGTTAATGTGCAGGTTAGTGTAATGACTGTTTATACTGGTATGCCATCACAAAATCAGCCTATTGTAATATTAGTAATCTTAAACTGAACACAAAAGCAAAGTAAATAAATGCCGATTTTAACCACTTGCCCTCCAGAAGGATTTACCCCCTTCCCGACCAGGCCATTTTTTGCTATTCGGCACTGCGTTACTTTAACTGACAATTGGGCGGTCATGCAACACTGTACCCAAACAAAATTTATATAATTTGTTTTCATACAAATAGAGCTTTCTTTTGGTGGTCTTTGATCACCTCTGGGTTTTTTTTAAAATTTTTGTAATATAAACAAAAAAGGCCGATAATTTTGAAAAAAAAACTATTATTTTTACTTTCTGTTATAAAACATATCCAATAAAAAAAATTTAAAAAATCAAATCTCTTCATAAATTTTGGCCAATATGTATTTTGCTACATGTCTTTGGTAAAAAAAATCCCAATAAGTGTATATTGGTTGGTTTGTGTGAAAGGTATGCCTCTACAAACTAAGAGATATATTACTGGAATTTTTTTTTTTTTATACTACTAATGGCAGGGATCAGTGACCAAAGCAAAGCAACGGGACAGCAATAGTGTGGCAGGCAATCTGACACTAACTAATGCTGGGGAGAACTGACTAACTGCCACTGACATCATCAGTAACATTAATGCAGTGATTAGTACTAATAAAATGCATTGTCACTATAATAGTGACAATGGGTAGGAAGGGGTTAACATCTCGGACGATCAAGGGGTTAACGGTGTGCTTAACTATGTGTAATATGTGGTACTTTTACTAAGGTTCTTGTTGTTTTTATTCCCAGATTTGCAGGGAATGAAAAAGCAAGATCCTCTGTTAGGGCTCATGTACACAGGATGTTTGGAAAACTCTTCTGAATGATGGAAACTGACTGCTGAAAATGTAGGTTAAAAAACTTCAGTTTAGCCGCGTTTGCATACTGCATTTATCCGCGTTTATGTGCGTTTGCGCTTAGAAGCGTTTTTAAAAGATAACCTCAGGAGACCTTCCCAAATGCCCAGAATGCACTGAAAAATAGTAAAAATTAAGTATTTCAGACATTTCGAGAGAAATAGAGAGAGCAGAAGCAGAGAGAGCAGTATGTGTTGAGATGACCTGTCTTTTCTGGTTGTATTCACTATGGATCCCATCATGAGCATAATGCGGCACGTTCTACCATTTTTTCCTTCACACAAAACCTGAAACTGACTGCACTGGTGTACCGGGTCCATTTGAGTACATGGAAAACACTTTGCATGCGTTTCTGATGATGAAAAGAGGCTCTGGACAGCATCTGGACATGGAACAGTTAAAAAATGCTTATAAATGCGGTTAACCTCATTTACAAGCGTTTGACGTTTGAAACGCCGGTAAAATCTACTCCTGAAAGCAAGTTTGATGAGTTAAAAAAAAACGACTGTAAAGACAACTGCCTGTAAACGACTGTAAATGACGATGTGTACATGGACACATAGGAAAACATTAGGGAGAGTTCAGGGGCTGCTGAAAAAAAACGCTGAATAGCTCCTGAACGTCAGCTGCAGTGTACATGAGCCCTTAATGAACACAGCTCTGTATTGTTTACAATGACAGACCTGTGTTCAGTGCCCATCACCTGGTCCCAGTGATTGGTATGTGTTGTAATGAATCACAGCACAGCTGAACCGCCGCACACGTGCCTCCTTTCTGAGCGCACGGATTACGTACTATGTACGTGATCCAGCGCAGGAGAGCTGCTCTGCCACCCCCATATAGGTAAGTTATACAGTTGGCAAGCAAGTAAATACATTATCAAAATTGTATACTCCGATATCAAAAACTGAACTAACAAAGTATGAAAAAAATGCCTTCTGGGTGGTCTATGTACAGTGCAGGGATTTTACCAAACTTTGCTGCAGATTCCTACTTTCTGCGCTGAAAAAAAAGCTGTTTGCTCCAATTCGTGTCTTTAGATACTATTTCTGAATGGCGGAGATTAATTAAGTTTAATTAAGTTTAATCTACTGGTGCACTTTTTGGTTTGCAGTGTCTGTATCCCTTCAGATGGGATTAACCCTTTGAGAGTATCTGACCAAAAATGATATTTTTGTTGCAGAAGATACCTAAAACATGACTAGTATCTTAGTGCAGAGTTCTTCACACAAGCAGGAAGTGACATTTCATGGGGCATCAGTTGTGTACAGAATGCCTCCAGGTTGCCATATTGCATTGAATTTTACAGAAAATTACAGCAGCTGCAGTTTGAAAAGGAAAGGTACTTTTATAACAACATTTATTTGAAATATGGCTTGTGTACAACTGTATTATATTTTCTTATTTGCTATATTTTATCCATGAAAGTGGAGTTACCTTTTGGTGTTGAAAGCAAGTTATTTTTTTCACAGTGATTCACTTTAGGATGAAAAATTCTTAGAAGCAATTCTCACGTTATATTAAAGTGGTTCTAAAGCCTTACATATATCCAGTGAAGTGACTGGCCTCTGTTGATATACTGAGAGGACAAAAAAAAAAAATCCCTCCGCATAAGTTGTACCTGTTTATCTGAAGCATTTCCCCTCTACAGCCCCCTAAAGCACACAATTTACACAACATTTCTGAGTTCTAGAAAGCGGGGAACAGGATCTGATGTTATACGCTGCACAGCACAGAGAAAGAGCTGAGTAGAGGGAATGGACACCCCCCCTGTACCCAATCTCATAGGGAAACATGCACAGTTGAGACTGTCAATTGCCTGTTGTGTGCTTGGTGAAGAGGAGGGGGGAATCTCCTGACATTGCCTAGTGTCACCATAGACGCTTAGAACTGACTCATGCAGACAGAAGAGGAATGAGACAGGAGACAGAAATCACACTAAGTGGTTTGGATCATGGCAAGTACAAACTATAGAAAGATATACTTTGTACATTTTTCATTTCAGAAGCAACCATTTTAATAAAAAGACCGGTACAGGCAGAGCACAATGTTTAATTACATAATATTAAACATTTGCTTAATGTATTTACAATTTTCTTATTTTATTAACAAAGTAATGCAAAGGGAAGAAAACATAGTATATTCATTCTGTCCTGCCTTATGTGTTTCAAAAACTGTAGCCACATCATAATATTTGAAGACTTACATTGACCCATGGGTGTTCAAGAACTTGCAGAGCAGAATACCTTTGGTCTACCTCAACCTGCAGCATCATGGTGATAAGTCCCTAAAAAAAGAGAGATAGGAGGTGGGTATTAAAGCAACATCAAAATACTTTCTATATCGTCATCTAATATCATGTCTTGTCCTGTGTGCACAACAATAATAACATTCTGTGTATATATATATATATATATATATATATATATATATATATATATATGCTTTCTTTAAAATAAATACAAAAGCATTTGTACCTGATACCAAAGAAAGTCCCAGTCATTATGAATAATACATAAGACTGGGCATATTCTGCAGTTTTACATTGAGAAATAGGATACTATATCACTCAAATGAGGACTGACCAGACATGATCAGTTCTCTTGGGGCTCATCAGAGCCCCCAGCAGCTACTTGTAGGGGTCATTGATTAGATAATGTGTAATACACTCAGCTAAACAGTGTTAGATCAGTCCAAAGCATGCAGGGCCTGAAAGCCTAATAAAAAGGCTATCTACATAGGGTATGAGGTAGAAGAGTACTGGAAGAATTTTCTAGAGCTATAATACATCCTAGCTAGGTTCATTACACTTAATCTGCTACCTACTGGATAAAGCAGTGATATGTTTTTTATATATATATATATATATATATATATATATATATATATATATATACCCCTTCTACAGAAACAGGATGCCACACTTGTAAGTAAAAAAAAACTGCAAAGCAGGCAAAAACACCCGATAATCAAATCTTTATACTTCAGTTAGTACTGCACTATTCTTACCAGTACTGTTGAACCATGAACCAAATTCAGATTTTAGTATTACTAGTTTTCCTGTTACCTTTGCAGAGTCAGACACATTATCCCAGTAAGGTGATGGAAAATCCACTTGTCCCATTAAGATTTGATCAAAAAGTACTTCCTGGTCATCTCCGCTTCTAAGTAACATGGAAAAGGTAGAAAAACATGCATTTTTTGCTAGATTGTAATATAAAAATAACATATAGACTATCATGACCCTCATACAGTATCAGTATATCAAAACAATTTTTCCATTCTTCAACCATTCCATTTAAAGTCCTTGTAAAGGCAGAAGTGTTTGTACCTTAATGCATTCAGTTCCAGCTGGTTTTGTGTTTATTAAAAGTCAGCAGCTACAAAAGCTGTAGCTGCTGACTTTTAATAAGCACACACTCACCTGTCCCAGGGTCCAGCGACATGCTCATCTGTGCGGTCCCTTCTCTTCTTCTTCTCTCCCGGTTCTGGCATCTCAACTGTGGGCACCGGGCTGTGAAAGCTTGCGACTTCACAGCCGGGTGACACTGCACATGCGCAAGTTGCACTGCGCCCCTGATTGGTCTGGCAGTCTTCTGGGACCTGTGAAAGAGGAAGGAGGAGGGCCAAATGTCTGCCTCACTTCGCTGCGGAAAAATGAGCCGGAAGCGGGAGCAGGTACCTGTCAAAACCAGGTATCTGCTCCCCCACAAAAGGTGCCAAATATGGCAGTGGAGGGGGGGAGGAGGCAAACAAGCAGAGCTTCCATTTTTGGGTAGAACTCCGCTTTAAGGTAAAAAACCTTCTGTGATCAACTCCCCCCCCCCCCCAGAAATACATACTCGAGCCCAATCTCAATCCAGCACTGTGCCTGAAAGTAGCTGCGCTGCTCTCTCCTTCTTCACTGGACGTAGAGGCAGCAGCAGGAGCCATTGACTCCAGCTGCTGTCACTCAAATCCAGTGAGCAGAGGAAGAGGCAAGCATAGCTGCACACAGCTCGCCTCAGAAGTGAGCCCGCATAAGTGCCCCCATAGCAAGCAACTTGCAATGGGGGCACTCTGAAGAGAGGAGGAGCTAGGAGCGCTGGTGGGGGACCCCAGAAGAGGAAGATTGCACAAAGCAAGTAAATATGACATGTTTATTATTGAAAAAAAAATCACCTTTACAATCACTTTAAGTATGAGCTCTTAAGTGCAATAACCAATAAAACCTATCAGAATTGATTCCTCTGAAAATAGACCAGCCCATTCCAGGCTCTGATTGGCTGCTATGGATTACTACAATTAAGAAATCAAGAACTGAACCACACACAAATCATACCAGCTCCTATTCCTAGGTCCGGTTGTATTATCTAGGTTCAGTTTTTCACTGCAGTCCAAATGATAGTATTTATTCAAATGCAAGTCCTTTGTTTAGACCCTTATAGGATTAGATGAAAAAGAATGCAGGCAGATTTTATACCTACCCACGGAATGGAGGAAAGCCACACAGTAGGATGTACGTTATTACACCAGCTGCCCAAATATCCACCTTTAATCCATACCTAAGGAAACACGCAAATGTCAGTAATCATCCAAAATTCCCAACAATTACAGGCTTGATACAAGCAAAGGGGAGATTTACTAAAACTGGAGAGTGCAAAATCTAGTGCAGTTCTGCATTAAAATCAGCTTTCAAGTTTTATTTTCAAAGTTTAATTGAACAAGCTGAAGTTAGAAGCTGATTGGCTGCCATGCACAGCTGCACCAAGTTCCGAGTGCTCTGGTTTTAGTAAGTCTTCCCCACAGAGTCTGAGCACTCCCTATAATTATGGATATTTATATCACTGTCATCCAATCATACTTTGGTGCTTTCTTAAATGCGTGATGGAGTAGTTTCTTACAAACATTTAAGGTTCCTGGTTCAAATCACCATTTTCCACAAGAAGCTACCACTGGAGTGTATATACTCTCTCCTATAAGGTAGGTAGTACAAGGGTCTGTTTGAAGGAATACAATTTGATTGGCTAGATTAGGTAGGTCCTCATATCACAAAAATTTGGCAAATCTAACCTTGATTGAACAAAGATTGTGCGGTCAGATTGTAATGTATATGGTGACCCTAGGGGACATGTACCACATCTGGTATCTTTCCCAAACTCTAGAAGCTACCACTTTTTTGTGCTTATCTAGCTCTTTTCTGCCACCCAATGGCCATTAAATTAAACTGACAGCAAGCAAGGAGCCTTGGTTATCAATGAACTGGTAGACCAGTGAGATTTTTTTGTTCAGTTTCAGGGCCCATTCACATCATGTGTCTTGGGCTGCGCTGGACAGCCTTGCCCAAAGCAGCCTCAATGCATAGACGAGGCAATCTGCCTTCAGACCAATGAGTTCAGTTTAACACTGAGCTACAGCGGTATGTGTTAAAAAATAGTAGGTCATGCTCTACTTTTTTCCAGAACAGTGTTTGAGACTCCACATCACAACCTGCTGCCGTGAATAATAATCCATTAAATGTCATTTTGTGCCATTTCAATAGAGCTGAAAAAAGAAAGAAAAGAAGTAGTGCCATGCATCATTTAGGCCTCATACACACAGGACATTTTAAACGCCGCTTTTAGAGGCAATGTGTGTTTTTTTTTTAACGTTAGTCTATGTGTCTATGCACACAAAGGCATTTACAGGCATTTAGAAACAGAGGTGTTTACAAGCAGAAAAAAAAATAGCCAATGCGTTCATGAGAGAGGCATTTTACTGCTTAAAATGTTTGATGAGCCTAAATGGGTGTAAATGCACTTTAACAATAGATGTGTCCAACACATGAATGTCCATTCATAATAAAGTAAATGTGCCTAAACATGCCTGCATGTTTTAGGTACATTTTGTGAAGACGCATTTCCTCTGGCATTTAGAAGAGCTGGGCTTACAGTACTGCTTGCCAGATGCAATTATATCGGCACCGCTCAGTCAAATTTATTTGGGGGAGGAGGCTCAACTGGCTGCCCTTAGTCAAACTCCCCCAGAGAAACCCCTAAAATAATGTTCAGGTCTTCAGGAAAGCCTGGTTTAACAAATTCATTAGCAGTTCGTGGGAAGAATACCACCCTTACAGACAGCTAAAAAAGATCATTGGAGCTATGCTGCTGGCTCTGTCAAGTGGTGTTGGCCCTATGCTGACACCATCAGATGGGAGTTCAATCAGCCACAGCTGGAATAACCCCTAACAACCTCTGAAGGAACCCTAGGATTCCGTGAAACCTTGGTTGAGAATGGCTGGCCTAGCACCAAACCTGTATACAACGATGATGTGCTAGTGTAGCACATCATAGTCGCCAGTCAGATTTCAGTTTTCAGGAGTATGATTAGAGATATTAATTCTGATTGGTTGCTATGGCCAACTGTACTTTACACATTGCTTTCTACCCTACTGAAAAAGCTTACATGCGTTTTGAATGACTTTCACCTGGACCAACACTGATAGAATTTGTGGAAGACTGAACATGGTTTGTGTCTTTTCCAGCTTTGCTAACAATATATGGGATATGGTTAAGCTCTTGTGTTGCCTTTGTTTCATACATTTTATCTATCAGGCGTACAGGATGGTATATAAATTACAGGTGGTCGGTGACAAATTGTACACACATCCAATCCCATTATCAATGCATTACAGTGAATAGTGTACAGTAGATCCTTGTGAAGATTGATTCTAGCTATCACCTTTCCCAGTATAATTGCAACTATGCATGGTGCAGAATACTTATGGAACTCTGCGACAGAGAAGAAACCATATTAATGCAGGGAAGGCATTTTGTTAAGTGGCTTGGCTTTTTAATTAGTTACTAATACTTTACCCAGTCTCTGCAATTATTTCTGGAGCTACATATGTTGGGGTTCCACACACAGTGTATAGAGGTCCATCTACCACAGTGGCCAGTCCAAAGTCTCCAAGCTTTAGTGATTTGCTTCCATCTTGGTGTTCATACACCTAGACATAAGAAAAAAATGCTTATCAACCAAATGTATATGTGATATAATATATTTATGAAATTTGTAGTAAATGTCATCTAGCCTGGACATGGCTTGAACAATATTCTTAACCTAATGTTTTGCTTTTCTTTTTGTAACTATTTCTCTTGCTCAGCTTTTGCACTTTCCTTTTCTAGACACGATTTATAATGAATATTATCTTTTATGTATTAGTACATGCACCACAATAGGTGGGACAACAAATCTCAAAATAATGTAATTCTAAAAAAGTATATCTTCTGTCAGATGGACCCTGGTGTACTGAGAACAGTTACTCTTTATTGATTTTTGCCCAGCACTGACATAAATATTAGCTTTTTGAAACAGCCCCTGTCCCCCAAAGCTCACAATTTAAAGTTCCAACAGGCCATTACAGAAGAAGCAAACTATTAGTATGTTTTTTTATGTGGGTGAAAGTTGGAGCATCTGAAGGAAACCAGTACAGACATGGAATAGCCTACAGACTCCATGCAGATGTTGTCTCAGATGGGAATCAAATTAAGGACCCAGAGCTTCAAGATAAAAATGCTAACCACTCAGATATGAGTATAAGTTGCCTCTACACAGCATTCCAGCACCCGGCGAGACTTCACTCATAACAAGGGGTTAGCAAAACCCCTGTAGGCACAGTAATATTAACAGGAGATCCTTAGATGGCAGGACTCCTCTTCAACCAATAGGAGGTAAGATTTAGCAGACAGATTTGTTATAGCCTAAATATGTGTACAGATAGGATGATAAAGTCAATTGGGGGATAATTAGGGGTCTGCACTAGAGAGAAGGTTAAAAACTGATATATAAAACTGGTGGGCTTATCACTCATTGGCTACCTCATAGCATCCCTAGTCTTGAGTAGTATTGAACTTTGGCTTAATTTGAAATGTATCAATTGGATCAGGGAGTCAGGTATCATTCCTTGGCCAATTAGTTGTGGTCGGGACAAACCCCACCCTGCAGCTATATGTAAATAAATGGGCAAGGATGATCATGACATCATTGCCCTAATATGACCTCAAGCTCATCCCCAGTCTTGAGTAGTGCTTAAATTTGCTGAAACCATGTGGTTATATTAGGTCATTGTTCTCATGAGCATCCCCAGGCCTTTGTTTATGTGCAGTTGTAGCACAGGGAAGTTCCTGCCCACAGTTCATTGGTCCAGCACTGAACAACTGTATCCTGTCTTCAACTGAACATGTATTGGACCAAACCCAAAGCCAAACCCAAGCTCCGAGTCTTGAGTAATGACAAGCTTGGGTTTGGCTGAACCTTAAATACAGCTGTGATTCCTGAGTGAATGATCTGGGGACAGGGGGTTGTATTTGACCAAATATGGCTATGTGGCCACATTAGGTCAATGATATCGAAAACATACAAACCCCTTTGTGTACATGCAGCTGTGGGGGTGAAATGTCCCCACCTGCAGCTCATTGGCCCAGCCCTGATAGCTGACTTCTAGGTTCAGCTGAACATGGGTTTGGACCAGACCCAGAGCAGAACCCAAGCTCATCCATAGTCTTAAGATAACTCCACCTGACTTCTTGACTCTGCTGTAGCTACCACAAAGAATTTGATATTTGAGTCCTAAAGTAATATGGAGTAGTAAGTAAAGTAGAGTGCTTCAAACCACCGTCATTAAAAAAAAAAAAAGGTTTAGGACAGAAAATTATGATTTTTACTTTTTCATACATGTACATACAGTAGTTACCATCCCATTTAATGCAGACAAAGAGGACACATGGACTATTAGGCCTCTGGGGATCTTATACAGAGAGTATATAATTCTTCGAGTGAATACAGCTATGGTACATGTATTTATTTAAACAATGTGCATAGAGCCAAAATGTTCCACTCTCTCACTTTTTATGAGAAAACATTCTAGAACCATCAGAGATAATCTACTGATAATTACTGAACCATAAATCAAAGCATTTTTGCTTTAAAGGCAGCAAAGGCATAATATACGTTCCAGCTCATCCAGATAAAAAGCTCGAGGAATCGCCAAACCAGAGAATTCACGCTTGGTTTGACTTCCTGCTGGACAGACCTGCAACACTTCTTAGTAGTCATTCCCAATTAATTGAGATACTTTTTGCATTATATCACGAGAACATAATAATTTAATCAGGAGAACAATTCCGTAGCCTTATTCCAGTTCTGGTGCTGTAAGAGTTTCACGTATAATAGCTGCCTCATTATCTCTGCTATTTATGACAATTTAGCCCAGAGAAACATATGTTAAACACATTGCAAGCTAGCGAAAAGAAAAACAACACAGTTCTGCCTAGTCTTGCCAGCTACCTGACAATCAGCAAAATATGTCATATTTGCTTTGGGAAGAAACAGCAGAAAATGCCAGGTTACCATTTTTGCCTCCTCCTGGCAGGGAAATGCTGATGATGGAAACAATTACAGAGCGCTAACCTCCATTTGCCCCCAGGAAAATATCCTTACTCTGGATTTATGAAATGGTGAAGATGAACTAAAAAAAGAGATCTTCATTCTTTATTTAATGCTCATAGTATTAAAAAGGATGCCTTGTGCAATTTTAGTAAGCAGATATTCTTATTACTGCAGTATTTACAGAAAATTATTTTCACAATCAAGGATGGCAATACAATACATTACATTAAATGGCATTGTTAAATGACAATCTGCTCAGCCATTCAAGGCAATCCAAAGAATGACAGATGAGCAGAGTCAACCAGTGTGGTTGCATGTACAGTGTAGTGTACTGTGTCATTTGTACATGTAGAAGACATGCCTGAAACACAATGGGAACAGACACCATCCATGGTTTAGTTTTCCCATTTTAAAGACAGCTAAGAAAGCAGGTATGGTAGCAAGAGAAGAACTAGAGATGTATAGGAGAGAGTCCAGATTGGGAAAATAAGGAAGGGGGACAGAAATAAGTGGAAAGGAAAGGATAAGACAGACGGAAGCAAGTTCACTGGGTCAGAGGGAAGGGAGACAGAATGGTGGTCAAGAATGTGTCTTGGTAAGAATGTCTCTATTCTCTGGGGCATGTGAATGTGAATGTTTGTGTAAATGTTTCCTCCTGTAAAAGTGTGTAAATGTTTCCTCCTGGTGTTTGAGGTAGACAGTAAGGTCTTCCATAGGTCTGATCTCATTCATTTTAGAGAACCATAAGCTGAAATATGTCTCCAAAGGGTGGGTATGCATACTCTGGCTGCATTTAAAAGGTGTATCAGAAGGGACTTTGTACCTGTGTCTGGAAAGAGTATGGAGATGGCAGGTCAGCTCGTTTCCAGGCGCCACATCTGTCATTTTGTGAGTGAGTTCAGCAATCTTCATCAGTAGAGTGTTTTTTTGAATGTGACTTAACATATTTATAAGCTTCCTCTTCCATATTTTTATTGTATTAAAGTCCAGTTTCAGTCTTTTTAATCACTTTCCTATCACTTCAGAGAATAAAAAATACAGCTCTAAATAAAATACTCACCTTTCTCTCACAGACTCTGGAACTGGTCCTCTTCTGGGATGGATGATGCCCAATTTCATTCAACCCACATTCCTGTGAGCCCAAGGCATCCTTCTATCCTCTATCCAAGCCTCATAATATGATGATGATGATTTACCTTGGAGTTATGTCACACTAATGATCCACTCACTGGTAAGGACATGCTATTGAAAGGATCACTAAAAACTGCAATGGAATCACTTACTTGCTTTCATTTATCACTAAATCCCTGTCTGGATGCTCCCTCAACATTGAAAACACTGCAGAATGTAAATCACCAGCAAAAGAGTGGCTCTTCACTTATCTGGCAAGCGAGAGAAGTATACATGAAAATGGTCTCAGAAGGTTCTACCGATAAAAATCTATGCTTTGTAAATTAGGTGCAAAAAATTAGCTAACTATGAATATTTTACAACAATGCTCCTGGTATATCCTTTCCAATGTATGTTAATGTATACACTGCATAGGAGAAAGTGTAGTTTGGAGGTAACTTGGGGTAAGGGATCAGACTTGGCTAGCAGTCATTACCAATTTTCTCTGAAGCATGATGTCATGTTATTTTTGCAGAAAAAGTCAATGAATTTCATAATGACACATGTACAACAGAGGAAAATATGATTTGGCGTTTTATATATTCTTATAATAATATGTTGAACTTTCCTCTTACATTAAAGTGGACATTCACTCATGAAATTAACCTTTCTCCCCCTCCCTCTTACACCATTGCACATACTTTTTTCATTTTAGGAAATAAAATTTTTTTTAAATTTCTTTAATAGTACCACGTCCTGATTCCTTGCCTAGACAAGGATAATGTAGGTTGGCCACCCACTGCCTCCTTGGATAGTCACACATTCCAGGCGGTAGTGATTCAGTGTGAGATATCGTGCTGTTGAGATGATAATATATACTGTAAATCAGGGCTTAAAATTTCAAGTCCTGAGCTACTAGCCAGGCCTTAAGAGTTAATAGCCACCAGTTGCCCCACCAAACCCCTACACTGCTACACCCCTAATTCTGCCCCTAAACACGCCCTCGTAAATTATTTCATGAAATTACACTGTTAAATGTTACCCAGATTACATCAGGGTCCCCAGTGTCCCCCCACATTACATCAGGGCCTCCAATGTCCCCCTAAACACTCCATCATACTTAGACCATGTACCTCAAACAACCATAACCCCCCCATAATCTTTCACTCACAAAACCATAACTCTACCAAGCATATCCTACCTACTATCCAACCCAGCAGTACCTCAAATGCCCCATACTCTACCACCCATAATAACCACATAATCCTGAACCTGTCCAAACCACCCATGAATGTAGGTTTACACACAGGCACATGTACATACACACACAAACAGAGACACCTGTACACACACACAGACATGTACATACACATACACACACACACAGAAACATGTACACACTTTCACAGAAACACATGTACACACACACATATACAGACACATGTATAC